ATGACAGAGCCAGACAAACTTACATTCCCCAAAGCAAAATTATATCACCACGGATTATCTCCCTGTTGTTCCAGGTGCTTTCATATCTTGCTTCCTCTCATGGATTGTCTTTTGAAATGCATGCATGTTAAGTCTCTTAATTCTCATTTTGTTAGTAAGGAAACTTGAGACATGGCATGGCCAGGTGACATGCTCAGGTTACTGCCTAGCTGGTAATACAGTCAGTATAGAAGTCTAGTCTCCTATCTCACCACCTCTGGTACTTCCCACTTGCCATGCTTTTCCCCACAGCCTATGCCCGTCCTACAATATCTGTGAAGATTGTGAATCAGGGCCATATGCCCATGACTCCAACCACATCCTGCTGAAGCTACGGAGACCTGTTGTGGGTTCTTCTGAAGCATTCTCTCACCCAAGGTTCTCTGCCCCTCGTCTTCCTGCTGCTCTGGAACAAGCCAGGTAAAACCATAAGGAAAGGAGGCTTGTTCTTTGATGGGAGTCTTGGTTCTGGTGATGGGACGTGAATCACAAAAATGCACAGTCTCCTTAGTTCCTATTCATTTCCAGTTGATGTGTGATGATGAGGACGATTACCCAAAGCTAATGAGACAGAAATGAAAACTATGGAAAGAAGTTAAACTAGAGGCTGGCACTGATGGAGGCTACAAATGGCTCAGAATAGCTTCAGGATTTGTGAGGATTTGACACTTTTCATTTGTTACCTCACAGGCTCCAGAAACAGGTTGACAAGAACTTTCTTAAAGCAGAAAAGCAAAGGTTGCGAGCCGAGAAGAAACAGCGAAAGGCAGAGGTCAAGGAACTCAAAAAGCAGCTTAAGCTCCACAGGAAGATTCACCTGTGGAGTTCCATCCACGGACTCCAGAGCCCCAGGTCCCCTTTGGGCCGACCCGAGAGCCTGCTGCAGTCAAACACCCTGATGTAAGCCCAGGGCCTGGGTGGGCACCAAGGTGGAGATCCAGCCTTCCAAAACCAGAACTTCAGCCCGGTTTTCTCTTATTTTTTGGCAGCCCCTAATAACACCCAAACTCTTAAAGCTTCCCATTCTCTAATCCTAGCATTCTTTTTTTTTCTTTTTTAAGTTTTATTTATTTTGAGATAGAGGGTGCAAGTTGGGGAAGGGCAGAGAGAGAAGGAGAGAGAATCCCAAGCAGGCTCCACACTGTCAGCACAGAGTCGGATACATGGCTTGAACACACCAACTGTGAGACCATGACCTGAGCCGAAGTCACACACTTAACCTACTGAGCCACCCAGGCGCCCCTGATCCTAGTATTCTTACAGGGTGGTTTGGTAGTCATCGTTGACACTTGCTTTGTTGCGTTCTTCAGAAGGACAGCAACCAACAAGGTTCCAAACTGGCTGGTGTGACTTCTCTTCACTGGAGGCAGCTGGAATTTCAAAGACCTGACTCTCTAGTTCTTTTATGTATGGACCTTTATCCTCACCATAGTTTTTCAGCTCAGGAGTCACATGTCTTGTTTTTCAAATATTTTTAGAGGCACCTGGGTGGCTCAGTTGGTTGGGCATCCAACTCTTGACTTCCACTCAGGTTGTGATCTCACTGTTTTGGAATCGAGCCCCAAGTCAGGCTCTGCACTGACAGCACTGAGCTTGCCCGGGATTCTCTCTCTCCCTGTCTCTCTTCCCCTTCTCCGCTCATGCACACATGTGTGTGCTCGCTCCCTCTCTCAAATAAATAAACTTTTTTAAAAATTACAGTTTTTTAAAAGATTTTTTTCAAGTAACATCTGTACCCAGCGTAAGGCTCAAACTCACAATCCCAAGATCAAGGGTCGCATGCTGTTCCAACTGAGCCAGCCAGGTGCCTGTAAAGATCTTATTTTTACGCAGTCGGTTAAGCATCTGACTTCAGCCAGGTCACGATCTCGCGCTCCGTGAGTTCGAGCCCCGCATGGGGCTCTGGGCTGATGTCTCAGAGCCTGGAGCCTGTTTCCGATTCTGTGTCTCCCTCTCTCTCTGCCCCTCCCCCGTTCATGCTCTGTCTCTCTCTGTCCCAAAAATAAATAAACATTGAAAAAATAAATAAATAAATGAATTTTTAAAAAAAGATCTTATTTTTAAGTAGTCTGTGTACCCAGTGTGGGGCTCGAACCTACAACCCTGGGATCAAGAGTGTCCCACATTCCACTAACTGAGCCAGCTGGGCGCCCCCTATTATTTTTAAGGCAAACGAAGAGTCACTGTCAGCCTCTTGAATCACGGTGCTAGATATTCAGAAGCCATCATACCCAACACAAGTGACTGAATTTCTGTTCTGAAAATTTCTGTTCTGAATTTCTGTTCAGGCTCCCTTTGCAGCCCTGTGCCCCAGTTATGCCAACCCTCAGTGCAGCATTTGTGGATGAGAATTTGCCTGATGGGACTCACCTTCAGCCAGGAACCAAGTTTATCAAACACTGGAGGATGAAAAATACAGGAAACGTCAAGTGGAATGGAGACACAAAGGTATTTTTTTTTCCCACCCAGAGTGTGAAGATGTGATTAGAAGTGACAGTGCTCAGTTTACAAGCTTGCTTTCTCTTGTCACTGTTCTTTTCAGCTCAAGTTCATGTGGGGAAACCTAACTTTGGCTTCTACAGAAAAGAAAGATGTTCTGGTTCCCTGCCTAAAGGCCGGCCATGTGGGTGTTGTGTCCGTGGAGTTCATCGCCCCAGCCTTGGAGGGAACGTACACTTCCCATTGGCGTCTTTCTCACAAAGGCCAGCAGTTTGGGCCTCGGGTCTGGTGCAGTATCATAGTGGATCCTTTCCCCTCCACAGAGAGCCCTGAGAACATTGAAAAGGGCATGATTAACTCAAGCAAAGCTGATGAGCTCACTTGCCAGCAAGAGGTGAATATTGGAAGGATAAACTAAAGCTAAAACAGCCCACACACAGCTAGTTGTGCCTCCAGACATCTGGAAAACGTAGCTCCTCCCCCTCCCCCAGCACATTAGTAAGCTTTTATTAGGCCTAGTCCTCAGGGGCTTTCTTTGCATGTCCTTAGGATCTTGGTGCAGTCATCCCTCAGTGCTTTTGTATCTCTTTGTAATGATGTTTGGCCAGCCTCTTTGCTGCAGGAGGGAAGGTAGGGCTGGCTGGCCTGTTGAACTGCTGGACTGATGGCTTTGCTCCTTAACCCTTACCTCTCCTGGATATCCACGTGTGTGTTCCGTAAATACTAATGAAGTCTTGCCTTTTTTTTTTAGTTGGTGCAGTTTTTTTAAGCAACTTCCATTTATTAGTGTGTTACTAGTTTTTAGAGCATTTTACTGCTTAGATTTAGTTAACCAAGTTAATTTCCTGCTTTTGACTGTCGTCAACTATGGTTAACCTGACTTGTCGTTAAAGGAAGTTAGGTGAAGGGGATTATTATTTTTACAACTTTTCTGTAAGTCTAAAATTACATCAGAACAAGTTTTTTTTTTTTTTTTTAATTTTTTTTTTCAACGTTTATTTTATTTTTGGGACAGAGAGAGACAGAGCATGAACGGGGGAGGGGCAGAGAGAGAGGGAGACACAGAATCGGAAACAGGCTCCAGGCTCCGAGCCATCAGCCCAGAGCCCGACGCGGGGCTCGAACTCACAGACCGCGAGATCGTGACCTGGCTGAAGTCGGGCGCTTAACCGACTGCGCCACCCAGGCGCCTCTGGAACAAGTTTTAAAACATGTAGAGGTGCAGCAGTGTTTTGGTTTTTAGGGAGGCAGCTGCCACCTTACATTTTGAATTCAGTTGAGGGCCTGACATCTGTCCCAATGGTTTTGTCTGTGTAGGAGGCTTTTCTTCTGGCTAAAGAAGACATTCAGCTTGATGAAGTAACTGAGCAGTCACAAGGGACAGGAACCTGCATCCCACAGAAGACAAAAAATGTTGCCAGTGAGAGGGAGCTTTACATCCCCTCCGTGGATCTACTGACTGCCCAGGTGGGAGACTGAACACTTTGGGGGGCAAAGGACAAGGCAGTGGAGAAAGAGGCCTTACCCCCTTGAGGAGAAGGTGATATAGCCACAGGCAGTGCCCAGCAAGTTAGCCAGATGGCCACTTCGATCCATTCAGATGCAGAGTGGGAAGGAGGTCACCTGTGGAAGGAGGCCTCTGAACTAAATGTTCCCTCTCTGAGTTGGTAACTCGCGTGCTTCCCCACAGCTTCCCTTCAGTTGTCTCTTCACTTCTGCTTCTCTAGTTCATTTTCACCCCCACTGCATTTTCTCTCTCTCCTGCCACTTGGTTATTTGAACACCTAGTTCCCATTTCGCTCTCCTTGATTTCACTTGACTGAGGGTGAGGCATGAATTTGAACAGAATCCAGGAAGGTGTGATGCTCAGTGGCCTACACATCCCAGCAGGACAAAACATGACTCCAGCCTCCATGGCAAGTAGCCTAACATTGCCCTTTTTTCTTCCAGGACCTGCTGTCCTTTGAACTGTTGGATATAAACATTGTCCAAGAGTTGGAAAGAGTGCCCCACAATACTCCCGTGGGTAAGAATGTCATTCAACCCATATTGTTTATTTTATTAACGGACACAAAAGTGCTATACCCTAGACTCTGATAGGTAGTATCTTATTCTGAGAAAATAGATGACAAGGATTTCTCCCACTGTGTGACAGTAAAATTGCACCCATGCATCACGTCCCTTCTTTTTTTCTGTTGTTTGTCAGAGTCAACAATACATGGTGGTGTAAGACTTCCCCACGATAAAGGGACCCTTGGGGCGCTTGGCTTCCCAGTTGGTGGAGCATGAGGCTCTTGGTCTTGAGGTTGTGAGTTTGAGGCCCACACTGGGTGTAGAGATCACTTAAAAATGAAATCTTTAAGAAGTGGGGTGGGGGAGCCCTCTTCTCCATTTTTCTGTAAACATTATGTCCTTTTTTCCCTTTACATTCCTGGTTCTGTGTCTTGGCCGTGGTTTTTAAGGCCAGATGACTGATCTTTCCTGCATTCGTTGATCTGAGATACTTCCACACCTGATGGTCTGGAGAATTTTCTTTACAACAGGCCTTGAAGCATACTTAGGTTTGTTTTAGCCCTGCAGGAGGCAAGAAGCCTGTGAGCCGCTGCTTCTGAACCCTGTTTACGACGTGATGCTTTTTCTTGGTTGATGATTTTTCTGTCTTCATTCTGCAGATATGACTCCCTGCATGTCTCCTCTGCCGCATGACAATCCTTTAATAGAGAAGCCAGGCTTGGGGCAGATACAGGAAGAGAGCGAAGGGGCAGGATTTAAAGCACTTCCTGGTAGGGACTTCAATATTTGTAAAGTTTTTGCATTGTCCCCTTCCATATTATACCATTTTCATACATACTTCTCCTAACCTTCATATGGCACAGATAGTCAAGGCTATTCCTTGGCATGGTATCAGCATGGGAACATGAATGGAAGAAGCTCCTCCACACCAAGTGCAGACAAGCTTTGTGTCTTTCAGATCCCACAGCATCAGTTAGGAGGAAGGCTGAGAACATTTCCTCAGTGGAGGAAGCAGAAGATGACCTGAGTGGGACCCAGTTCGTGTGTGAGACTGTAATCCGATCCCTTACCTTGGATGCTGCCCCGGATCACAAACCACCTTGCAGACAGAAATCCCCACACAGTGAGTGTCCCTGGGTTCCTCCACCTAGCAGGGTGGTGCTTGAATTGTGGCTGCCTGACCAGAGTAGAAAGAAGTGCTCTTCTTCACTGAGAGTGGAGGTTAGGTGAGCTTTGTTAGACTTCAGGTCATGGTTGTTTCTTTAGACTCCACACACTCTACCTGACCATTTTAATTGTAGCCTCAAGAGCAAAGCAACCACCATAACACATTTTCACACTTTCTCGGGGGCAGAATTACAGCTGTAGGATTCAGAGGAACAACAGCGACTTGTGCTGCCTGGATTCTGCTGTGAGGAGTCTTCCTGTAAGTTGAGAGAGCTCTTCAGCAGAGACCTCCATTGGCAGCTGAGTTTTGTCATTTCTCCCAGGACACAGTCCAGGAAATAGCGTGCAGAAGCTGGGGTACCAAACTAAGTTTCGCGAGGTTATATTCTGTCGTAATCCACTTTCTTTACAACAGATACTTCTAGTTCAGATATGTAGAGCCCATACTGTGTATTTCAAGAACTATCCAAAAATTCAAATTCTAGTGCATCAAAATAATGTGGGAAAATCTCTTGTTTGTTATAATGAAATTTAACCTATACCTTTAAATATTTTTTGTCTCACTTTTGTTTAAAATACACACAGGCGCGCGAGTGCACATGCACACATATGCGCACACACACACACACGGAGGTGGGCGGGGGATGTGGTAAGTAGGTGATGGGTATAGAGGGCACATGTTGTGTTGAGCATTGGGTGTTATATGTAAGTGATGATTCACTAAATTCTCCTGAAGCCAATATTACACTGTAAGCTAACTAATAAAAGTAAAATAAAAGCTGAAACTAAATAAATGGAAATAAAACATGTAACACACTTATTTCACCCACATACACTTATATATGAATGCATAACAAAAACATCTGAAAGGACTTACACCAAAAGGTTCACAGTAGTTATCTCTGATAGGATTATAGGTGTCTTTTTTTCCCCTCGTCCACGTTTTGCCAATTTTCTACCATGACTACCCATTACTTTGCAAAGAAAAGGAGGAAAGTAGACATACAGTCCGGCAGCACTCACCACCTACCATTTGCTATTGTTCTAGCACTGTTAGCGAGTATATCAGTTTTGATATGTTTCTAAAATTCATGGTGCTTCTCGGAAGCTTTGGTGTTTCTACATACCTTGTTGTTATAAGCTTCAGTTCTTCCTGGCTTTGTACAGGCTTCAGACTTAGAATGTGGCCATAACTGAGGTTCTAGCAGCAGCCCTTCCCTCTGGTTCGTCCCCATCCTCTGGCTTTCACGACTGTAGCTCATGACCCACAAAAGACTTTATCAGGTAAGGACAGCACCAGAGGCTGCTTTTAGCTGTAGCTGAAAATTGATTGCTTTCATCCTTTAGTGAAATTTCCCTCCCCTGAAGAGGGACCACTTGGAGTTGAGCAGGAGGAGGTTGTCCATGTCGCTGAAGAAGCTGTTGTGGAGGAGGAAGCTATTGTGGAGGAGGAAGTGGAAGAGGAGGAAGAGGAGGAGGAAGAGGATGATGAGCTCAAAGATGAAGTTCAGAGTCAGTCCTCTACTTCTTCAGAGGATTACATCATCATCCTGCCTGAGTGCTTTGACACCAGCCGCCCCCTGGGGGACTCCATGTACAGCTCTGCACTCTCACAGCCAGGCCTAGAGCGCGGGGCTGAAGGTGAACCTGGGGTTGAGGCTGGGGAGAGAGTCGCTGGAGGGGAGAACCAGCCGCAGGGACAGAGCATCAACGACATCCTCATGACCTCACAGACTCTGGACACCGTGCCCCTAACCCCAGAGGTGGTGGGGCCTCCACCACAGCTGCCCAGGTACCATCCACACCCCCCCTCAGCTGGGCTGTTCTTCACAGGCAGAGTAGAGAGGAAAGGACTCGATCTCAAAACCTATTTTTTTGTCAGCATGGGAAGAGACTATTTCCCATAAAAGTCTGAATTTAGATGAATAAAAGTTGTATTTCCCAGAATTTGTGGATTCTGGATTTAAAGAAACGCTTGTTTTAGTTAATCTTAATTATCGGAGTACAGTCTATGTTTTGGTCGTTGAGAGCCAGTTTTTAAACACAAACATCCCTGGATCTTCTTCGCTGTTCTGTTGACTCATGGGTAAAGGCACTCAAAACTTATTTTCATGTTAACCCAAACAAAGTAGTAGAAAGCTTAATCTGTTATGGAAAAAATATACTCCAAAATCAGAAAACAATTATTTTTAATTATTTACTGATCTGTGTCCTTGCTCTGTCATAGTAATGGAAGATGGTGGAGCCTTGACTGTAATTTAAACCACTCTCTCAGGGAGCTAGACATTTCCCCTTATCAGTACCAATTGATGTAGGGGGGAGTGACCTGACTGAAGCTGGTCTTTCTAGCTTGACTATGGCTAAAGAGGAAAACCAGAAGTAGAATGAGCCCTTTCTACCTGATCCCTAAATTCAGACATGAGATCTGGATCAGAAACGTGAAGCCTCTGTAGAGAATCGGTCACTTCTATGCCATATTTACTGTTTCCACCGTTCCCATAGGTGCCTTTTCAACTGACTTTCAATATTGTGTCTTTCTGAAAGGAGCCCTTCTTGTGCACAGCATGATGGTTCCCCAGGAGTGGATTTACCAGTCACCATACCAGAAGCTTCTTCAGTCCCTGATCAGATCAGAGGAGGTAATGACCAGCCTAAGCTTTATATCCTTTTCTGTGCTCCTTTCTAATGAAACCAGGTATAAAGGGGCACTGTGTCTCCATGACTCTTGGCATTATTTGGAAACTTGCCCTTTCTTTCTCTCTGTGCCCCTCCCTCATACTATTTTCTATTCTCTAGTAAATATTCTTAACATTTATGAAGTGAGACCTTACAGAGGTGGGCATTGTGCTGCAGTGGGAAGAACACAGGCTGTGGAACTAGACCAGTCTAGATTCCAGGCCCAGCTCCACCTTTCCTCACTGTGTGACCTTGCAGCAGGTCAGCACGTTCATACCACCTGCGAGGCTGTTTTCTTGTCTCCAAAATAAGGAGAATAGCATCTTGAAGTTGCTAGTAGACCTTCAAAGTCAACATCCCACTCCACCTCAAAAAAACGAAACTTAAGGAACTGAAAAAGTAATAAATGGACGTGATAGGATTATAGAATTTTTCTGATTTAATAAACAATCACCTTGTATTACATTCTGGACAGTTCACTGTTATCACTTAAAACCACCTGCAAAATTTCCCAAATAGTTAATAAATAAATAAATAAATAAATAAATAAATAAATAAATAAATAAATAAAGCTGTGATCAGATTGCTGCCTGCCTCTCAAAAATAGCTTCACTATGAGTTAAGAAACACTAGGCACTTGTGGACGCTAAATCTAACCAATAGCTCTTTTGCTTTTAGAGCCCAGAGGCTCATCAGGAATTGTAAACAGCAGACAGAAGAGCTATGACCACTCAAGGTAACTGGACCTTGTGCAGCCTCTTCTTCAGAAGCAGGTGGATATCCTAGTATTGCTTCTGCTTAAACAAGCCTCTCACAGCATGTGCCACCTCCAGAGAGCAGAGGAGAGCCGTCACTCCTTATTTCTCCTGAAGCTTGTGAGCAACATTGAACAGAGGGCTAAAGTTACATTACAGAGTGTTCACATTTCAGACCAGTACCCTCAAGTTCAACTCATCCTTAGTATCAGAGGAGAAGGCAGAAAAATCAAGCCCACTGTGCATCTTAGTAACAGTTTCTTAGACCTACCTGCCTCTCTGCTCCCAATCGGCTCAGAGCAATGGCAAGCTGGGCTCCTCCCTACAGTACCCAGAAAAGCACATTGCCTTTGGAGGTGTTTCCTCTGAGATGGTAATTGTGCAGACAGACTGCCAATACTCTTCTGTGCTCTTGACCATGTAATTTTCAGCTGGGACAGAAAGCTGGTATACTAACCAGAAGGGTGCATTTTCTGCACAGCCTTATCTTGCAGCAGTAGAACTAGGCTCTACTACATCAAACCAAGATTTTGTAGGTATAAAACTAATAGGAAAGTGATCACATCCTCTTTTTACATCTGACTTTTTTTCTCAAGGAAATCCATTTTCTTTCAAGGATTAGAGCCCAGATTATCTTGTAGGAAGATAATAGTTTGTGATATTTTAGGGAGATCATTTGGTTTTCCTCTCCAGACACCACCACCATGGGAGCAGCATTGCTGGAGGATTGGTGAAGGGGGCTTTGTCTGTTGCTGCTTCTGCATACAAGGCCTTGTTTGCTGGGCCACCAGTCACTGCCCAGGTCAGTGTATGTTTTATTTTCCTGTAGCAAAGCCAAGTCCCCAGTGAAAATGATGCTGCCTGTCTGAGTTGGAGAGTAGTATAGCATTCTGCCACTTTCTAGCTATATGACTTTAGCCAAGTTACTTAAGGGATGAAAGGGAAAAGGTCTAGTGTTTGTTGAGGACCTATCGTGTGGGGAGCTCTTCCAAGTACCAGCACTACAAGGTGAAAAAGACACCAGTCCCTGCCCAAAGACAGGAAAACAAGCAAGGTACACAGACTTCTGCAGTGCAGTGTAAGATCCTATGCCCGTGTTCTCAGGTGGGACGTCTCAGCCTGCTGTGGGCCCTTGCATGGGGCCAGAGAAGGCTTCCTGGTAGATGGTGCCTGAATTGAGTCCTTAAGGACAAAATAAGTATTTGCCAGGAAAGAAGAATAGAAAGAGCATTGCAGACAGAGCCTAGCCAGTAAGAAGACCTGTAAATGTGACTCTGAATTGTGAATTTGGTCTGGGAAGAGTAAGAAGAGACCAACTTCTGTAGGTGGGGTGCTCTGTTAAGTGGTTTGGGTGTTACTTTAAGGCTAATGGGAGGAGCCAGTGAATGGGTTTTAGGGAAGTAATTAGCATCAGATTTGTACCTAGTGAGAGAACTCCAGTATTGTGTGGAGGTTGGGGGAGACCTAAAGAAATCGATTTGAGGGTCTTCTGGGTGGCTCAGTTGGTTAAATGTCCAGCTTGATTTCAGCTCAGGTCATGATCTCATGGTCTGTAAGATTGATCCCCGTATAGGGCTGCAAGCTGACAGCACAGAACCTGCTTGGGATTCTCCACCCCCCCCCCCCAATTCCTCCCTTGCTCACGCTCTCTGTCAAAATAAATAAATAAACTTAAAAAAAAATCCATTTGAGATGGAAAAGGGGTAAAAGAAATGGCAGAACTTGGAGACCATGATTAAAAGGCTAGAAAGAAGTGAAAGGAATCCCATGTTTCTGGCTTCAGGCAATCAATAGGACCATTCATTAGGATGTGCAGGAATAAGGATATATTTGGGCAGGGGAAGAAGAAAATTAGGTACATTTTGGAAGGTGTGGAATTTGAGGCATGTCCAGGTAAAGTTACCCAGAGTGCAGTTGGGCCCGTGCATGTGGCTCACAGAGGAGAGATTTGGCCTGGAGGTAAAGTTATTCGTACAGGTTATAACAGAAGCCATGTGATTGGGTGAGAGTTTCCAGGAAAAAGGGGTGTAAAGCAGGAAGCAGCCTTTAAGGATCCTGGAAAGGAGGGCCCTGCAAAGAAGACAGAGAACTAGGAGAAAATTGAGAGTCTGTGCTGGGCCTCGGGGAAGGGAGCTTTAATGAGGACCTCGTGGCCAATGCTGCAGAGAACAGGGAGGGAGTGGAGAGGACTTGGAGAGTGCAAGTACACCTCATTTTCAAGTAGCTGGACCACAAAGGGGGAAAGAGCGAAAGCAAGGATGCATAAGGCAGAGGGAGAGGTTTCTACAGTTGGGTGAGCCAGTAGTAAAGGCGGTTAACAGTCAAGATGAAAGAGGATAAGAGGCACCTGGCTGGCTCAGTCAGTTGGATGTCTGGCTCTTGATTTCGGCTCAGGTCATGATTCCAGGGTCATGGGATCGAGCCCCACGTCGGGCTCCTTGCTGAGTGTGGAGCCTGCTTGGGATTTTCTCTTGCTCCCTCTTCTCCGTGCACACTTTTTCTCTAAAGACAAAATAATAATGAAAAGATGAGAGAGGATAATTCATAGAGATTTCAGAGATGGTGAGAGGTAATGAGATAGCAAGCAAAGTACCTGTGGAAGGATTAACCTGAAAGGAGGTTGGATAATTTATTTTGAAATAAAAGGGAAGGAAGGGAACAGTTGAGTTAGGTGTAGAGAGAAATGCCAGAGACTGTGCTCAACGTGCTTATACACTCTCTTCTTAATCCTCTCAGCAACCCTGCAAAATAGGAGGTATTTTATATCTCCATTTTCATACATAATAGAATTAATTGGTAGTCAACACAGTTGGTAAGTAAATGATAAGAGAGTGATCCGAAGTGTTAGGATTTAAGAAGGTTACGTGTCCACCATAGAGCTTGACCTAAAGAGGGAGAGGTAAATGAATATTAGTTTCCTCTCTTCTGGATTGCTTCTGTTCTTTAAAAAGAAAAAGGAGAAAAATGCCAAGAAAGTCACCCAAGATGTAATTTCCCAAGCAGTTTTTTGTTCAGCTCCTTTGTATTTCTGACCAAACCCTCTTCCAATAGCGGTCTTGGCTCCTGCTTATACTTGCCCCATCACCACAGTTACCTTTTATCTTCACAGTGTTTCCAGTGTTTGCATCTCTTGCTTCATCAGGTCAAAGGATGCTTCTTCGGGAAGCCCCCTCTGAAGCATCCTCCTCCTGGTTCTGAGGACAGTTCATTAGTTGCCTGGTTTCGGATACAAACATACTGAATCTAGAGCAGGGCATTCCCAGTCCTCCCTCAGAAGGTCCATTAGTGTCAGGTGGACAGGAACACCATGCCCTTGCATTGAATTTCCTAATATTTTAAACAAATCTGGAAAAATTCATATGATTTACAAGATAATAACAATTTACAAGACCCATAAATGATACAGAAAATGTTCTGCTTTTCTTGACTCTACACAGCCAATAGTTTCTGAAGATCAGACAGCAGCCCTGATGGCCCATCTCTTTGAAATGGGATTCTGTGACAGGCAGCTGAACCTAAGGCTGCTGAAGAAACACAATTACAACATCCTGCAGGTTGTGACAGAACTGCTTCAGGTCAACAACAATGACTGGTACAGCCACCGCTACTGAGGAGTGACCCTGTATTAAATAACTGCCTGCTGCTCAGAGATGATCTTTATTCTGTCCTTGGGGCATGGGGGAGAAGCCCTTGCTTATTTTTTAATCCGATGAATCTATATAGAGCCCATTATTGAGTTATCAAGACAGCACCTGCATTACAGTATTTTTTGGAGCAAATGAAAGACCAGGACTTAAACAGAGACATTGAGTTGTAGGAAAACGGTTTTTCAGTTGAGTTGGATAAAGCTCCTCTCTCCATTTTAGTGCATTGAAGAGTATAACTTGAACTTTCTATAGAACCGTTTTTCTTTCTGCTTGTATTGAAGTTGAGTATTTTTCTTTGGTTAAATGTGGATGTTTCTATGGAGATATCTGTTGGCAGTTTTTAAAAGAAATTAACCTTGGAAGTTGTTTTCAAGAACTCTTAACAATTTTTCTAGCCTACCCCAAGCCTCATAGCTGTACGGGATTGAAATGACACCCAGAGCCCCAAAGGAATGTTGTTACTCTTCCTTTCTCCAGGACAAAGTCCTTTCCCTTGCAACACTGAGTAATGGACCGCTGTTGTCTAAAGACCCCACTGGTACATTCAAGATGATCCACCTTCAGGGTCTCTGCACTTCAGTGAAAGGAGGAGGGAGTGTGCTCATTAACCCACCAGCACCTGTCGAGCAGTGTTTACTGTAGTAATTTTGCATACATTTTTCTTTATTTAAGGGAACAAATTTAGGTAGTGTGGAATATTTTGCTAATCCTATAAGGGAGGAGAAAACTTCTATTAAAGGGAAAATAAATGTAACGGTTACCTTTTTTCTTAATGTCAAGGCAGATGTTATTTACAGTCAAGTGAGGGGAGATAGAAACATGAAAGGCAGGGCCCTACATTAATCTGTAAAGTTAGTTCAGGGGCGGGCAAATGTGTGTGTGAGGCATTAGAGATCCTGACGACTTCCTGAATGTTTGAAATCTGCTCAAAGGTATCTAGAACGGGGCGGCTGTTTTGCAAAACTTGGATGGGGGCAAATTCTGAAAAAGTTTTGGTTTAATCCCAAAATGAATGAAAAAGCTTGCTGCCTGCGGCCCAGGTCCTCATTCTGTTTACAGAAAGGAGTCTTTGGTACAATCGGTGAAAAAAAAAGGTAACAGAAAACACTAAAAGCTAGTATTCATGAAAATGACTTCCAGAAAAAGACCCTCATCCAGGAGGAGGAAGGGTAGTAAACTAGTATTATTTAACCTGGTTGGTATTTATAATGAATGGTAATGTTAATTAATCATTAGCCATCACGATGTTTATTTACAGTATAATTCTTGACCTATTAAATAAACCAAAATTCAGACTGCAAGCCAACCAGGCTGTTCATTATTTAAAACGTTTTTATCCGGGCTTCTGGGTAGAGGCTGAGCTGCAGGGTGCGTGTAATTAATTGGGTTGATATCGGGCGAGACCTGTTCTGACCTCCTGAGTCATACTGTAGGGGTCCAGGAGGACCTTGGGGTCCAGTCGTCCGTCCAGTTGTACATAACCGCTTAAAAAATGGTGGAATAAACGTTCTTTGAAAGGCCTACCTGGACTGACTGGTACTTGAGAAAGCAGCGTCCGAGATGCGGGGCGATCTTTGAAGAGCTGGGCGCTTCTCTGGCAGCTGAGTAGGGAGGGGGCGGGCCCCTGCGGGGTGGGGCGGGCCTGGAGGAGCTGGGGCGGAGCCTCCCCAAGCACGGAGTCAAAGCCTGGGGTTAGCCGCTGGGCTCCCGCACTTTCGATTCTGCTTGCCTCGGTTGCTGACGTCCGGGGGTGGGGTAAGGCGCTCCTAGACCCTCCTTCCTTTCTATCCCTTTGGGAGGCAAGGGTCGAGGAACCTTGTGTGTCTCCTAGCCTCACGCAGGCACTCGCGGGTAACAGGCTCGACTAACGGCCTCGGTGTCTGGCGGGACTTGAAATTCTCCTTCAATGAAGTTCCAGCTTCTGCGCTCCCCAGCTCGGGCCCCTGGCTGAGCCCCGGAATAGGGCAGGAAGCGGCTTAGCCCTCTGAGGAGGCCGGTGTCGCTGCTCCGTCCTCCCTCCAACGTGGCCTGTTCGCTCCCCCAGGCCTCTGCTGAAGGGGGCCGCTAGCCTGGCCAGCCCCAGCCGTGGCCTCTCTGGTCACCCTACCCTACAAGCCCTTCTCTCCAAAGACCATTCCAGAAATCTCACTCTTGGCTGACAGGAGCCCTGGATCCCAGACCTGAACCAGGTGAGGCTCTCTTGATTTTTAGCCCAGTAAGGTCTGTATGCAGCTCACCTTGCCCACTCGTTCTGACACCACTCCTGAGCCTTTGGAGAAGAATCTGGATTGTTAGCCTGTACCATTCCTTAGTGAAGTATCCTTCACTATCAGCCCGGACCAGTGCTCCCACTCTTCCCCTGGCATTCTTTCCTATCTCACAGAAAGCAGTGAGGAAGAGGTTTCTGTTCCCTTCCAGGCTATTTTAAGGTTCTTAGCCGCACCTGTGACCAGTCTAACCTTCTTTCTCTTATTTCAGAGAATCCCTGCCTTCCTATTAAGCCAGCACCTGCCACGGCTCAGGAATGGAAGCTTTCCTTTCACGCCCAGGCTGGGAGATTTCAGGCATTTCTTCCCGGGTGTTCTAGACAACTCTTGAGAGTCCTCTTGTTGCAGAGGGTGAAGGGACTCTGGACTGCTGCCTCCCTCCACCACACCCCCACCCCCAGCCTTGTCCACTTCCTTCTCATGAAGAGAATGACAGCTCAGCAACTTTCCCAGAAAAACAATAAGTGCTCTGCCATTCACTTCTGGAAATCTCTTCTAGTGAAATAACTTCTGCTTTTCTCGTCCCTCTTGCAGGCAGATTGAGCTCCCCTGCAGTAATGAAAGGAAACACACTGCGATTTCTGATGGGAGAGTCCCATGTAACTGCTCAGTTTTCCATCTCCTAGTTTCCTTGGGCTGGAGCTTGCTGACATCGTGATGGCAGTCCTTGCCGATCCTAAGAACCCAAAACCAGAGTTACATCCAGTGTCTGTGCTAACAAGCTTAGCAGTGAATTCTGTTCTTTTCTTATTAGTGAAAACTCCCCCTGAATGATGGGTGAGACATTCTCCCAGCTGGGTTCTCGGGAGGATGAGAACAAATCGATCCTGCCCCCCAGCCCAGCCATTGGCAACAAAGCTGCCTGCTACTCCAGCATCCGAAGCAGCAAGTCTTTCTGTTCCTGCGTGCCTCGTGAAGGAACTGCTGGTGCCAGCTTTGTGACTTGTCCCACCTGCCAGGGCAGTGGGGAGATCCCAAGAGGTGAGTGGCCCGAGGCTTCAGAAATCGCCTGGAATCCAGAAAAAAAGCTCTTAGCAGCCAGCTGGGCAGGCCCCCCTGAGCCTCCTTGAATGGGGTTGGGTCTCCCAGCTCTTGGTCCCCCAGTTGCAGCTGGGCCAGCAAGGAGCTAACTCTCCCTGGGCTCACTGCAGAGACACCCCCACCCCTCCTGACCTGATTGTTCTCCCCAGCCCAGGGGTCTCTGGCCTCCCCACTCCCTGAGCAACACTGTGCCTTAGGACTCAGGAAGTTAACAAATGACTTCTCCAAAGAAGCTAGGCTTTTCTCATTTGCTGGTGTCTTACAGAAATTCACACCTGCTAATGAAAAGCTCACTTCTATTCTGAGCTGCCCTCCCTGCCCTGTGTTCCCAGTTCTGTGGGGCAGAGGTGGCATGTTTCTGACCCTACTCTGTGGGGTGTAGGGGTGCATCTGGGAGGCAAGCACAGGAAACATTTGTCACGAATACTTCCTGGCCCTCTCTCTTCTTTCTCTCTACAGAGCTAGAGAAGCAGCTAGTGGCGCTCATCCCCTATGGGGACCAGAGGCTGAAGCCCAGGCACACGTAAGCCCCTCTTCTCCCCTCAGTTCCACAGGATGTCACCCCTGGGGGCTGTTCTCTTTGTCTCCCCCATTCTGTCTCCCCCTGCGATTTTTCTCCGTTGGTTCTCCCCAAGAAAGCCTCACTGGGTTCATACGTACTAGCTGCATTTCCAGAGATTTTCCTGGTTTAAGAAGACGGGCATAGCAGATGCCACCTGAGGGTGGCCCTGAAAGGAGTGGCCCTGGCTGCAATTTGGGGAAATTATTTTTCCTAAGAGCCTCCCTTGCTGTGGCAGTTCAGAGCTGCTTGGTCTCTTCCTGGCTGAGATGGAAAACTAGCTGCTCCCTGTTCTGAGATGCTTCAGAACCTCACAGGCAGCCCTGAGTTTCACTGGGGGTGTTATAACCCTGTTTGTCATCTGGGTCTATTTGGCAGGAGTCCCTGCAACCTCTTCCCAAGTTCCTCAGCTTCAGTCTGGGATCCACCACCCTGCCCTCCCCAACCACTGTACCAGAATCTGAATCTAGCAGTGCCCCTCATAAGATATAATAAGGTGCTGTCTCTTTAATGCATATCTCAGTTTTGAATCAGATGGACAGATGATATCCTGTTCGGAATTTTCATATTCAGATTCACATCCATGTGGATGTTTCTTCCAGTGATGATAGCTAGCATTTGTTGAGTTTTGTTAGGTGTCAGGACCTTGCATGAACAAATTCTGTGAGGTAGGTACACTTCTCTCCATTTTACAGACAAGGAAACTAAGGCTTTGGGAGGTTAAGTAGCTTGCTTAGAGTTACTGGGCCAGTGGGTACAGAGAGCTGGGAGTGGAAGTCAGGTCACTTGCCTCCCAGTCCTGTGCTCTGACTCACTTTGGGGCACATCTGAACCTGGGCTGGTCCTCCACATCTGGGTGGGGGGTAAATTTACGGTTATGAGGGGGCTAGTGCAGGGGAGAGCCTTGTATATGGAGAGGAGTGTCTGAACAGCTCCCTGCTCAAGTTTCCTTGGTGTTCAGACCACTCCACTCCTCTTTCCCGGATCCTGCCTTCCCACAGGAAGCTCTTCGTGTTCCTGGCAGTGCTCACCTGCCTTGTGACTTCCTCCCTCATCATCTTTTTCCTGTTTCCCCGGCCCATCTCCGTGCAGCCTGCAGGCCTCAACTCCTCCACAGTGGCCTTTGATGTGACTGGTATCAACCTCAACATAACGGTGGGTGGGTGGATGCCTGCACCCCTGGGCTCAACCCCGCCTTGCCGGCAGCTCTTCTCTATAGCCCTTATCTGGGGTTACAATCCTGGGCACAGGTTGCCAGGAATTTTATGGCACCCAGGGGGTGTGGAGGGCTGGGGAGAAGCAGGGGCAACCATGAGCCCCATAACAGATTGTGTAGGATTGGGACTGTACACGGTGAGGGGTCAGAATCGGGACCAGAGGAAAAAAACACAGGGTGCAGCCAGGGGGCATGCCTGAGACTCCCTGGGGGGCGGGGCGGCAAAACTGAAGAGAAAAGCCTCGCAGGGTGAGACTGGATCCTGTGCCAGCTTAATGTCTTCCAGTGACCCTTTGCCAGTAAGAGCTCTTCCAAGGGGCTCCTGGCATGTGGTGGGAGTGAAGCTCAGCCAGGCCTGGCGGTTTGGGAAGCTATTTGACCTCTCCTTTCTAAGGATGGTCACCCTCTCACTTCCCTTTTCCTTCTCTTTCTCCTCAGAATATCTTAAACATCTCCAATAGTAACTACTACCCCATCACCGTGACCCAGCTGACCATCGAGGTTCTGCACCTGTCCCTCGTGGTGGGGCAGGTCTCCAACAGCCTCCTCCTACACATCGGCCCTTTGGCCAGTGAACAGGTGACTCCCTCCCCTTGGACAGCCCTGCCCACAGGTGTATGGACACTGGTGGTGGGAAGGGGCAGCTGGAATTGGGGCTTACCCTATGCCCATTTGGTTGACAGATGTTTTATGCAGTGGCCAACAAGATAGGGGATGAAAACACCTAGTAAGTATCCCTTGATCTCTTCTCCCTTAGCCTCTTTCCTGGTTGGAAACCCGGTTTTCATCCCTACCAGATTTCCTGATGGCTTAGCAAACCCTGCAGCCAGCACTTGGCCTTCACTCTCATGACCAAGACTGCAATGTGAGGGGGCTCAGGGTCCCCAGCCTCTGCCTGTTTAGACCTAGGTTGGAATGAAAACAGGCCAGAATTTGGTTAATTCTTACAATATGTGACCTTGAGCTTTTCCGCCTGAATCGCTGAGGAAGATGAATGTCCTTGTTTTCTGTTGGTGGAGGGGCTAGCACATACCTGGGCCAGGCCTGTGGGGCCTGGGGGAATGATATTGCAGCAAGGGTGACATTCTCACCTTAGGCTGAGGGAGGGAGAAAGAGTGGGAGTGGCATTTGGGACCCCTGATGGAAAAGAGCCCAGGAGGCAAGGATACTGGGACCTGCAGGTCTCCTCTGAGCCCACAGGCTGCTCAGTGTGAAATGTCCCATGTTCTTTGTCTCTCAGCAAAATCTGTTCCTGGATGAAAATCAAAGTCCACCATGTACTTTTGCACATCCAGTAAGTAGGGCTTGGAGCCCTGGTGTCCCCTCTCCTACTTCTGACCCCAGTCTCCCCTCTGCTCCACCTTGTGGGAGGAGTCATCCAAAGCTAACTCCCTGGATCTTTGTTGGCTCATGGGAATAGCCCCTTCCCTATATCCCACCTTGCTTATAAGCCATTGATGTGAAGCCACAGGGCTATCTGGACTACAGGTGGGACAACTATCCCAGGTGCCTTGGCAGAGTGGGGAACAGAAGGAAGAGGGTGGGGTGTCTGAGGGATCCTCACCTCCCGAGACAGCAGAGTAGGTCCAGAGCTTTCTTCCTCCCAGACACAGCCACAAAGCCTACTTCCTCTCTAGGGGCACCCTGACCTGTTCCTGCCTGAGCCATTCAGAGCAGCTAGTCTTCCAGAGCTATGAATATGTGGACTGCCGGGGAAACGCGTCAGTGCCCCACTTGCTGGTCCCTCACCCGACGTGAGCTGTCTGCTGCCCCCAAACTCCAGGCCGCTGCCAGCCTGGGCTGGATCTCCCAGTGCCTAAGTGACTTTGCCAAAGGAAAAGCCCTGCTTTATTATACCTCCCCCGCCGCACATACCCCCTCAGCACAGGAAGCTCTCCGTGGAAGTTAACTTTGCAGACGTGTGCACACGCATCCCCTGATGTCCACAAAAAAAGAAGTTTGGTTCTTCTAGGGGTTTTCCCCCTTGGTCTGTCTTGAGGAAAGTCTGACCTGATGTTCTTCAGAGCTGCTGTAGCATCCCTGGAATGGCACCTGCCCTTTCGGTGCTGAGCACCTTGGTTGCCTAACTTCTCTAGGGCTGGCCTTCCTCCTGCCTGAATGAGGAAAGCTTTAATTTTATCTGGGTCTTAAAACATGGGTCTTTTTTCAAGTTCTCCACCCAGGGATGGGATTGGGACTTGAGGGACATCCGTGCTGTCTCATGCCTCCCTGCTTTGGTCATGTGACAAAGTGATGGTGATGGTCTGCTTCTCTCCTGGTAACTTGTCCCCTCACAGCAAGATTGGCTAAGGCCCTTTGACCCTGCATCCTCCCTGGTTAAAGAGTGTTCCTGTTCCTAGGAAGACAGAGCCGTTCTCTGGCTAAAGCTCTTCCTGCCACAAAATAGTTTTATTATTCTCGCCACAGCCAGAGCCAAAGGAGTAGGGGAGGAGAGGGAGGCACCCCCTCTACCTAACTAAGAAAAATGGAGATGAAACCAGAATCATCTGATAAGTTGTTTATTGAAGGGAAGCTTCTGGCTGGTGGTAAGGCCACAATCCTGAGTCCATGTGGGGACACAGGTAGGTCAAGTGGTGGTCCCAGCTGCTCTCCCATGAAAGCCTGCAGAGGTGAAGCTATCGCAATTCTCAAGATTCCGCAAGCTGCTGGGCTCTGCAGCATCCCTGGCTTAGTACCAGGTCCCGTCCTGCGCACCCAGAGTCCTCTGCTTTCCTTCAGGAATTGACAGTATGGAGCTGGATATCAGTAGGGACTGGTCTTGCCCTCTCCTCTTTGCTGTCGCTCAGATGAAGCTAAGTCCCAGATAATCCAATTTCCCACTGGGCTCCAGGTGGAGGCAGTTTGTTTTGTAGCTGAGCCAGAATGGTAATTGCTCCCTAAAGGCGGCTGTGGTTTTCCTCAGGCAGGGAGATGAACTTAGGTGGTGGGGAAAGTGAACGTGAAGCTGGATGGCTGGAGAGGGGGAAGTGTCACAGCACCTGGCTAGTTGGCTGGGGGGGGTGGAGTCAAGAAGGTGCCGGCAGGAGCACAGAAGTCCAGAAAGGCCAGGCCGGAGTTTCTGCTGTATGTAGGTTGCCGAATGTGTAGGGTTTATATTGTATTCAATAAACTGTACTTGACAGTGTTAAAAAGTCTCCTGTAAGTGGGCAGGGAGCTGGTGTACGCTCCCAGCCTGTTTCTTAGTGTCTGGGTGGGCGTCGAGCTCTCTTCTCCAGGCCCTGAGCTCCTCTGATAACATGTATGGCTTTTCTGGCTTCTGAGAGATTGCTCCCAGGAGCTCGCTCTCTGCCTTTCTCTCATTGTTTGTCTATTAAGCTCCCTCCCTACTTTAAAAAATTTTTTTCTATGTTTGTTTATTTCTGAGACAGAGCATGCGTGGGGGAGGGGCAAAGAGATTTCTGAGACAGAGCATGCGTGGGGGAGGGGCAAAGAGAGCGTGAGACACAGAATCCGAAGCAGGCTCCAGGCTGTGAGCTGTTAGCACAGAGCCCGATGCGGGGCTCGAACTCACAAACCGTCAGATCATGACCTGAGCTGAAGTCGGACGCTCAACCGACTGAGCCACCCAGGCGCCCCAACTCCCTCCCTACTTTAATATTCCTGTTCTGTGTCCCCTTCCCCCCTCCCCAGCTGCCCCTGCTCAGGAAACACTGCACTGAGGGGCTCCTTCAGCCTGACCCTCAGGCGATGCTGTGTGGGCTACAGTGAAGGGCTCTAGGCATCCCCTCACCAGTCCAAGGCGGAAAAGGGGGCAGCCTAGGGGGTCCCGGGTGCCAGCTTCAGGAAGTGGTAAGAGGGCTGCTTGAGGTCTTCGGAGCCTTTTGACTGCCTCTGCCACACACGGAAGGAAGAGGCCTATGGGGTTTTGTGGGTGAGTCCCGCCTCCCCAAGGTCAGGTGTCCTGTGCTTGAGGCTACAGCCCCCCTTACTCTGAGCTCTTTTCCACCCCTGCCTCCCATCATGCAACCACTCAGCGCCCACTAAGGGCCCAGCACTGGGGGGGGGGCCCTGCCTGACACCTCTAATGCTGCCCCGAGCTTGCTGTGGTGTGATGCAACCCCTCCTTCCCCAACCATATCTCAGTAAGCATTGGCCAGGGGGTAGGGGTGATGGCTCCCGCTAGCATCCTAAACCTAAAGCCCCCCCAAAGACCTATCCTTGCTAAACAAGGGCTAGCAGTGGAGCTATATAGACTTGGGAGGGCCAAGACCAAGTTCCCCCGATGGCTTTGCCTACAGAAGCATGAAATTCCCGCCTTTCTTCTTCCACCCAGTCCGTCCCCTTCATGGGTCCTCAGCCCCTGTCCCTTCATCCCAGTCTCACAGAGCTGACCAATCTCTTGATTCTTTTCAGGAGGCCATCACATTTTATTCCCAGCTAGCCTCCTCTTCTAGAGTGGATCAGGAGGGGACTTCGGAGTGGAGATGCTGCCAGGGATGAGAAAGTGTGGGGCTCCTCATCTGGGTTATTTTTTTGCTGGTGGCCAGTGGGGGTGGGGGTCTATCTCTGGATCACCATTGCTGTGTGTAATTCGTTGACTGGGAAGAGGGAGAGACAGGAGGCAAACCAGGTTAGTTAACAGTTTCTGGGCCTGCTGATTCCTGAACATTGTATCAAGCCCTTTGAGGGCAGAGGATTCAAAGCAAAATGGAGCAGCCCAGTCCTCATCCTAAAAGGGCTAGAGCATCAGGGTCTCTCATCCTTTGCACCTGTGTCAGAAACTCACTTTCCAAAGCCTGTACTGTTTTGTGTCCTCATCAAGAGTGACCACCCTGGGTTTGAAGGCCTGCACTGAGCCAGGTTCTAAAGTAAACGCTTTTGATGCCTTCTCTTTTAATTGCCACATTCAGTGGTCCTGATGCCTCTATTAAGGAAGTGGTATTACCATTCTCATTTTCTGGATGGGGCAGATGAGGGACTGGCGATCCTGAGACTCCCAGCCTCTGGCTTCATGTCTTACCTTCCTCCTGCTCCAGCTGCCTCTGCCCAGATCAGCACTTAAAACAATAGATTGTCAATCCCTCCATTTATGTTTAGTGTTGAGCAACAGCCCTTCCTTGGACATTTTTGTGAAGGCAACAAATGGAGGAATGGACCATCCAGAAGTGACTATATAATTGCATATCAAGACTTTATATAATTGACTTTATAAAATATAAATAATTGCAGCCCCTTCCACCAAGGAAGCTTCTCTAGGATTCCATCCACACTTACACACATACACACTCTCAGACACACAGCCAGAGTCTACCTGTCTTTCACACTGTCTCACCGTGAATCGTGAGTGCTCAGTATATTTATCTGGATTAGATTGGAATGATTTCCTGAAACCTAATGATGAAACAAACCAAAAGTTACTCATCTGACAGTTTCTGCAAATGGATCATGGCAGAGCTGGGCCCTTTACTA